ACTGCAGCAAAGGCCATCTCCGGACGGCAGGCAGCACGAAAAGATTGAACCCTTTGTCGTCCCGCCCTGGTGGCAGGGACCACAGGTGTACATCGAAGATGACATGGAAACAGCCCAGGAGGAGCATCGGAGACAACAACGGCGCGAGACAGGCGCGATCCATGTTTACACAGACGGAAGCGGAATCAATGGCCGGATCGGCGCAGCAGCAGTCTGCACAACGACCGGTGAGACCGAGACCGCATACATGGGAGCAGACACAACATCGACGGTCTACGCCGGGGAACTCCAAGGCATCATACTGGCACTCCAGGTAGCCCAGGCGGACAGGACAAGAGGCAACAACAGGAGCAAGCTGCTGATCTATACCGACAACCAAGCAGCCATCAGATCATCAGCCAGACCCAAGGGCAAGACAGGAGCATACTTGCTCAGGGACATAGCTCAAAGGATACAGGAGCTCAACAGCCAAGGCCTCCCGACGGAAATCCGATGGATACCAGCACACACAGGAATCCAGGGAAATGAAGACGCAGACATAGCAGCAAAGGAAGCCACCGGCTGGCGAGAAAACGGGCAGACAGGCCCGACAGCAGACCTGCCAGGGGAACTCTACTCCCTCCAATCGACACTCAAGACATGGGCACACAAGGAAGCCAGCAGAGCATGGCAAACTAAATGGACGTCGGAGACGAGAGGCAGGACCTCCTTCCGGTACACACCAAAGCCGACCAAGAAGATCCTGCAACTCCACGACGGGCTGATCAAGCGACAGAGCGCCATCCTGGTGCAGATGCGCACTGAGAAGATCGGCCTCAAGAAGTTCCTCTTCAACCGAAGAGTCCCGGACATCACGGACGACAACTGCCCCTGCCGAGAAGGACGACAAACGGTGTCGCACGTCCTGCTGCGATGTCGCCGATTCCGACAACTCCGACGCCAGGAACTAGGAGCCATTCCAGGACGACACGACCTCCGGGCCTTGCTGAACAAGCGCCAAGCAGCCGCAAAAGCCATCAGATTCATGGAACAGACCGAGATCCTTGGGCAATTCAGGATCGAGTCGCAACCCAGACAAAGCTGAGCACTGGGGGGAGACTGTAGGTACGCAGAACCGGCACAGGGGGTATCGCGCCCCGACAGAGCCTAAGACGTAGTTTGGATTAGTAGAAACCGCGATCTACACGAGGGTGACAGCCAAATGTAGACAGAGGTTGAAGAGCAGAAGCGGGAAATTTGGGGACAGCTGGCCGAATGGTTTGGCATTCGGCGAAGTGGGGCACTTGGATTCACATTCGAGCGCGTCGGCTGTCGGCTAAACCCCGCTTACCGGGCATAGCCGCTGACTAAGATAGCGGCCACATCCGTGTAGGAAATCAAGTCAAGTCAAGTCAAGTCACTCGCGACATCATGGTGATCCAGAGAACAGGATCACGACCAACATAGGAGTGAGCCATCCAACATGACCACACAAGGCATATGCAAGTCGGACATATAAGGAGGGACATTCCTGGACTTGTAGATACATTCTTTCTCACGACAGTGATCAATCTAAGCCTTACCTTGCTTCCATTGTAAGAGTGCGCAACGCCTTACGACACCCTCAGTGCTCAACCGCCACAACCTGAACTTCTGCTTACAGTAAACCCCTACCCCTCTGACTGTTCCTCACTGGAAGAATAGCCAGGTCGTAACACCCCCCTCCACAAGACTGTCTCCCAACCTTTAGTTACGTGAAGCGGTATATCCGGAAAGGCTACCGCTATACCTTCTAGGCCTAGTGGCTTAAAAACCAACCCAAGAGCTACAACGGCCTCAAACTCAAGGCCCAGCTATCCCCCATGGAGGAGCTTACCTCCCTAATAAGGAAGGAACTCTACTGGATCCTAGCTGCCCACACTGGATACAGCGACTTTGCGGCATACTATGAGAGATTCAACTACGAAGATGCCTAACTGCTCTACACATATGGAAAAAGAAAGTCCCCTACCCATCCCCTCGACTACCGAAAGGCAAACGGGAGATAGCATCTGCCCTAACTATGGTTCGGACGCCATGAATATATTAACTCTCAGCTAGGCCTAGACTGGCCAAGCTTCGTCAAGAGGATTAAGGAGACGTCCTTCTTCGATAGCATCTGCAAAAGGCACTAAGAGAAACGACTACAAGATTCCCCCAACACACACTAAACCTATAAAACCCCTCCCACATTACAGCACGATCGGTTCTACTAGATACTCAGTCCTACTGAGTAAATAGGGAACCTCAGGACTACTAGGATGATAATCCCCCTCCGCCCCATGGCCCTAAATCCTAACAAGGCCAGACCCCACAACACACGAACAACCTGCCCCTAGACCTGGAGATGCCTGGTATGACATAATTCGCATTCGCGATGTTAGCATTATGTAGACCTAGACACTTTGAGGCGACAGCCGGTGCGGGCGCCTTTTGCCTCTTAAGGATATCCTGGCGTTAAATACAATCATCATCATTGTGCGCCGCAGCGATTAGCTGCAGCGGCGACTTGAATCGTGTGAAGCTGCCCCAAACAACCCACTCCTTCCGGGAAGCCGCCCGGCCGGCCGTGGCTACGCCTTAACGACCCCGTAAGCCTCATGCTCCATTCAGAGACCTTCCCACAGGAGTGTCCCGGCCCCGGGCAAGGCCGAGACGGTGCCGCCCCGTGCTCGCCACAGGCTTGCGGTCGTGTCGTCCGAGTTTGCACCTTAAGCCAGCCGCAACGGCAACCCGCCTCTAAGCCGACCGACATGCGCATCCGTCCTCCCGAGCCACCGTGTCGTCTCCGCAGGTCTCAAGTGTAGGGGCCACCACGCTGGCGATACCACGTCAACGCGAGACTGCCTAGGTACGAGCTAGGGGCATACCGGAAACGCGGACGATGCCATGTTCCATGACGGCCCAACAGAGCTGGGAGCGCATCCGGTAAACCGGCGATACCACGTCTGCGTCACGGCCCAGGTACGAACTGGGAACGCTCCTCCCCCACTGCCTTCTGGTCACGACCACGGCGCTACGGCCCACCGGCAACCCTGGGCGCGACCCCAGGACCAGCTTCCCGTTACCGCGAGTCGTCTCCGAAACGCGGCCGACCATGTCTTGCAGATCAGAGACGCCCGGTAGCCGCCACGCCGGCACGGTTACCCGCACTCCGTCCACTAACCCAACCCATATCCGCCATATGATATTCGATCGCGGTGCGCTGTGTCGTCGGGATCGGTCCGGCCGCTTGTCTTGTGCACGAAGCTTAACAGGTCTGCTAACACCGAAGCCGGCCCCTCGGTCTTAACAACTTCCATTACGATCGACAGAGCACGTAGGCTTGTTCCGAGCCCTCGCCGGGAGACGCGCCGATGCCTCATGATGCTCGACTCGTCCGCCTCCTGATCTCAGAGCCGGTTGGATTGGAGGGTGTCCTGTCTCTTCATCGACGTCAGCCAATGTCAAGTCGGATGGTTTTCTTACGCCAGTATCCCTCGCGCAGCTTGTTGGCTTCGAAAAAGCGTGGGTGATGCGGTGGTCGTTATCGCGTGGTCCGTTTGTAGGTTCGGGGGGGCTGTGAAAAGTTTTCACAGCACCACACAACCGCGGGAATCGACTGCGCGCGACACGCCGCACCACACCCGCCATCCCTACTGACACCGGACACCACGAGAAGGTCTGCTGCTTCGTCCTACTGCTCTTTCAAGCAGCATCCAGTGTGCTCACCGGAGGCGGCACCAAAACAGTGCTCTGAACATTTGGCATCAAGTCGTAAATCCCTTCCTATTCAGGGAAGGTCTAAATGGAACAGGGGCCCCTGCTAGCGTGGTACATTCATGATGCAGCATTTCACCAAATATTGCCCTACCGTTTATTTGGTGTAAAACGCCTATTAAATTGGGTAAAGCGTCATGGGCACGGGCCACTTTTCATGCAGGTGGATGAACTTTTGGTGCCAAAAGGTCGAGACGATCAGGGCCTTAAGATTATATCAGTCTTGAATAATGGCCTAAACTTATCTTCCGCGTACGGACCTTGCTGGAGGGTTCTTTCTGCGTTCAACTACTTGAAAAGAGTCAAAGTAGATTACCACCATGAGAGGTCGCCTAATATACGCGTATTCGGACAAGAAGTAGAAGAGTTCGGGGCCGTTGAGGTAAGTTAGACGACTAGGGAGTCACTATTGTAATCCTGAGTCTAGATTCAATTGGAATGTCACATAAGACTGATCTGTGGACTACGTCGACTCTCTGCACACGTGGCCAAAGTGTGATTTCGGGAAGCTCAAGGCTCCTTGTCATTCACAAACCTTCTTCGGCTCATCACCAGGGGACAAGGGTATATACTCTTGAGCTATCATGAGCTGAACACCCTCAGACACGGACTTTCGATTGATCGTATGGTTATTATTAGCAATTCACAAAACCTAAATTGAAGAGAGACGATCATGGTTCGAAGGTAAGATTCCGGTGGAGCTCAGCATAAAACGACTTTGAGAGCACAAAGAGCCTTCCGGATGCGTATTGTCGAATTCTTTGACTTCGATGAGATGCACTCATGGTTCACAAAGCCTGGTGCTGTCAGAGACCGATGGTATTCGTAGACTTTCTGAAGGAGTCTCCCAGCATGCACCAAGGCCACGCTCGGCACTGACATCCGTGGATGTGGAGAACGAAGAAAGTAATTTCAGATCCGCAAATGACCGATACAAAGAGGATTCATTTGGGAGCTCAACGACGATGTTATAGTCTTGACTCATGCACCCATGCCGTAACTCCAGAATCGTCAAAGGACCGTCACTTCCCACCAAAGATTTGCCGAGGTCGTGTCTTATCGAAGTTAAGGCCCCGCTTCGGTGTTGTCGGAAGGTTTCTGGTTGTCTCGGGCAAAGCCGCGTTGTAATTGATGGCATCTCAGGGATTACCATCACTCGTGACGCGTGGCCAGAATATGAGTAAAGCTTCTGGGACACGAGAAACATGTCAGACAATTTGCCCGTGTCTTTAGATGGCCGCCCAAACTACATAAGAAGTCGAACACGCCCGCGTCGTAACAATCATTCAGAACATCTGTGTATTCTCCCGGCTTCAGTACCAGACTCAGGTTCTCTCCCACTACTAAAACTCAACTTGCAATCTCGCATTACAATGCGGCCCGACGTTTTCGTGCTCTTCACAGCCTTCCTAGGCCCCGCAGCTGCCTACCGAAGGACATGCAGTCATACCGGGAAGGGTGAAGGGTGGTACATCATCAGAAGAGGCGACAACTTTAACGCCGTTGCGGCCGATTTTTGCACTTCAACAAACGTCCTCACGGAATGGAACCATATCAGCACGATCACAGATAACATGGTCAACACCAAAATCAAGGTGCCTTGCAGATGGAACGCTGGCAAACAGCGCGACTGCCTAAAAGACCAGAAGAGTAGCAACGGCTGGTACCACATCGTGTCTGGCGACGAATTGAAGGATATCGCATACGACTTCTGCACGACATCGGGATCACTGGCGGGCATGAACGGAATATCAAACCCGGACTACATCAAGGCCAACACGGACATCGTTGTGCCGTGCAGCTGGAACTAAGTCAGAAGGTGGGAGTGAAGGCTGAAGAATGCCACGGGCCAATCGGTACGGTCAACCGCCATCAACCAACTGATGCAGAGGTGCCGTAGCCAATGCTTCCTGGGGATCAGCGTGGGAAGGGTTGGATGTTGTGAAGCTTTCAAGGGTTCTATCAAGAGGAACTGACATGTGGCCTCGTGTCCTTGGCCTTGCTCTTTTCCTTCCTGTAACTAGCTAGTTAGCTAACACAAGGCTTTATACTTGCCCTTAATGACGTAGAACCAGCTCGCATCCAGTCTCGGTAACCATCGATTCCGTCGCAAGGTGCTAAGGCAGTGACTTCTGGTGTCGAGGACATCCCCGGCTTTTAGTGGAGGAGGAATAGGCCTGAACGGGAGAAGTGATAGTCCGGTCTGTTTCTGAGGTGAGTTTTGCCTGACAGTAGGTGAGTAACATCAGTAGTATTGGTCCGAAACAGGGCATGTAACATCGGAGTACCAGAAAGTCTTCCTAACGCTGGAGGACTTGGTTGGGAAAAAAATGGGTAAGTAGTCCATCATATGTAACATGTATGATGTTGGGCGTGACGACTTCCGCGTGAGCCAGGCTCGGCAGCAAGGCGCTTGTTGTTTCGTCTGCTGCCGTTATCGAGAGGAGTTTGCCTGCCTCTACCGGATAGAATCGACTGCGGCTATAGCAGCTGAAGAGAGGATGTGTCACGGCTTATGGACCATCGTTATTCACCAGCCACATGGACCTGACTTTTCGGCATTCTCACAGCAATAGATTACTATGCCCGGAATGGTCCGGATGTATTACTTGCTCAACATGAAATCTATTGACATTCATATTCTACGGACAGTGAAGTTGTCTACGGCGCAGGCGCCTTTTCACATGCACGCGGCGCCATCGATACCGAGGACCTTGCCATTGATCCATGCGCCGTCCTGGGAGGCGAGGAAGCAAACAACGCGGGCAATATCGATGGGCAGGCCGACACGATGAACTGGGGACCAGCCGGCGGCGTACTCGTCGACTTCGTCGTCGGAAAGGGTGGCCCCGCCAGGGATGTATTCGCGGCACACGGCATGGTACATGTCCGTCTTGATGCCTCCAGGCGCGACGGCGTTAACCGTAATCTTCTTGTCCCCAAAGTCTATCCGAGTCAGCATTTGCCAGCTGGTCTTGGGAAGATGTATGGAAGTCTGAGAGGCGTTGACAGCGAGAACATACCGATGGCCATGCAGCGGACGAATGTCTCAATAGTACCCTTGGAGCCCGAGTAGACGGCGTGTTTCGGCACGGCCTTGGCCTGACCGGTGATGGAACCCACGAGAATCAGGCGTCCTCCCTCCTCGAGGTGCTTGTATGCCTCGCGGGCGACGAAGAACTGGCCCCTCGTGTTAATGTTGAAGACACGGTCGAACTCCTCGGGCGTGACGTCCTTGACGTGTCCGAAGGAAACGACGCCGCTGTTCGAGCAGACAATGTCGAGCTTGCCCCAGGCCTTCACACCCTGCTCGAAGAGGGAGACAATCTCGTCCACGACGGAGACGTTGGCCTTGATGGCGACGGCGTCGGAGCCGGACTTCTTGATGGCAGCTACGACCTCCTCGGCTGACTCGGAGGAGTTGGCGTAGTTCACGATGACTTTGGCGCCACGGCGGCCGAGCTCCAAGGCCATCTCGCGGCCTATACCACGACCTGTTCCTTGTTAGGGGTGCTAGTGTTGGGCATGGCGAAGGTAAACGGCCTTACCGGCACCGGTGAAAAGTGCGACCTTGCCCTCCAGCGAGGCGGAGGCCAGACCTAGGGGTCCAGGGATGCGGTTGTAGAAACCGGGTTCGACGGTAGAGGTGATGCCAGGCAATTCGATGGTGAGGGAATCAGCGTGGTAAAGCTGCGTGTTATGGAGTGCTGCAATATTGGTGCTGATGGCGTCAAAGTGGTGGCGATGAATCAGGCTGCCGAGTGTGATGAGGGTTAACGAAGCATCGGTGAAGCCGTTCACTATCAATTAAATATCGATTTTCAAATCGTCACCGACTCAATCGCAATAGAGCTGCTCGGATGCCCGTGGAGAGGCCGGCGGACCTGAATGCAGGTCCACACGTGGGGGCACCGCCGGACGTCCGTGAAACCACGACGCCGGCTGAAGCCTTTGTTGCACGGCGCAACTGAGCGGACAGTTCAGCAGAGGCACGTTGACGCAAGACTGCCAATCGCGCAGAGCCATGAAATCAAAATGACCAATGGTGGGCGCATATCGAATGTCCGGCAGCACTTTGTGAAGCGGACATCGTCGCCAGCATCATGTCGGGATGCCCGTCCTTCCTCGTTGGGCTCAATTGAGCTGTGTCTGTTGAGAAAATCAACTGATGCTGACTACTCAAAGACGCACCGCAAGTCGCCCTGCGCCGTTGTCACTTTGGAACACTCGCACAATAACTTTCTTTTTAATTGGCTGCTCTGTTGGCCCCAGATCAACGGCAACCATGACGGGATCAGGCCTGTAGGTCCATCGGGAGCGGCCCCGGCACGGTGCTTTGAGCGCTTACCGGAAACATCCCTGGAGAACAGTAGCCTGGACGACTGCACAGCCAATCGTTCCAGGTGAACAACCAGTTGTGGCCATCCGAATTTGAGTCTTCCGGCCTGATTTCTAAAGATTTTTAGGACTGGCTGCTCTCAGATGCCGAGCTCGCCGATGAAAACATCCCTCAGAGCCAGAGCCAAACGAGGCGGGATACGAGGTTCAGCTTGGAGGCGCTCCAGGCGGTCGCATAGTGGGCCAACAGCCTGCCATCCGGTTGGCGATCTTGGCGGGACGGGACGATATGGGTTGCCGATCCACTAGGCTGAATCATGACTCTCTCTCGAGATTGCGTGGCTTCAGCTGCAGCCTGGTCATGTGCGATTGCTGCCGTTGGTGATTGATCATGCAGATTATTGGGCGGATTGGTGAGGATCGTCTTTGGGTTTTGTCGACTGACTCGGGGAAGCTCTGCTGATGTTGGCGATTCCCGCCTCATCAGATGGCTCAAGCAACTCATATAAACTGATCGAGACCTACCCTAGAGTTCTAGAGTGGACTACTTGCGCAAGATTTCATAAAGCGCTTGCTGAAGTTGGCGTGAGCTGTTGCAGGAAGAGTCAAATGTGCACTGACGGTGACTTCGCTGATCTGGCGGAGATGGCCAGTGTTGCGGTCGCTCATGCCGGAGATACCGGACAATACGCGATCCCTCATTCCGACGGCCGGGTCGGAAGCGCCAACAGGGCTGACGACGCCACAGGTTGGAGAGTCGGCGAGGGAGTAGCGGCCAAGGACGCCCGATGAACGAGAGGCGGACAAAAAATCGGTATCCGAGACGGAGCTATAGTGGTATGTCGGTTGGATGGACGTGGGGTACGATGAGTTGCCGAAATGCGTGTGCTTGTCAATGACCTCCATGGGGGTGAGGCCCGTATCAGAGAGCTCAGGGGGCATTGAAGTATCTACGGGGTGGGTGTTAGTCTGCTGATGCTGATTTTGGGAGGGAGAGATAGACCAGGTAGCTCTGCAATTGTGGTGTCCATCATTTCGGACTGTGATACGAAAGGCAGAGTTGGGACGGAAGGAGAGCGTGCTGGGTGTCCCACTGCGGCATCAGCGTTGGAGGGCATCTCTCCTACCGTAGTGAGGGTGGGAGCTTTATCTTCGGTCGGCTGGCCCCTGATCCAGGAGAGGATACGGGTGCCGTTATAGTCGGTGCGGGCCCCCTGCTTGCGAAGCGTACGCCTGCGCCAGAGGCAGAAGCCGACGAGGAACGCACCGAGGGAGACCAGCCCCAGGACAACACCCAGAGTTGGGCCGACCCATTCTGGCAGGCCGCTGCCACCCCGGGAATCGTCACTGGCGTTCTTTCCATCGCCCCCTGGCTCAATTGTCGGTTGGTTGACCTCGGTCACTCTAGGGTAGGGATACCAGGTTTGAATCTTCGACGTCGGGTATGGCGTCATGAAGATGTCAGCCAGATTGTCGTCTGACCACCCTGACGGGCTCGGAGTCGTCAAGGTAGCTCCTCCTGCCGCACTGCCGCCGATGACGTCCCTGACGACGGTGGGGACACCGTAATCAGCGTACCTCTCCGGGTCGTAGCCGTCCATCCACTGGCCACTGGTGAGGTTGTAGATCTGGATGAGACCAGCAAGGCACTCGAGGTTATCGCCAGCCTCGGAGGTCATTCCGCCAATGACCATCATCTGGTCGGGATAGGGCATAAAGCATTTATGCCCGTTCCGACCGTAACCCGGCCTACCCTCACTGAGCATGGTCCAGGTAAAGGAAGGCAGGGACAGGACCCAGACCTCATCGTTCATCTCCACCTTGGGGTCCACGCCGGGATAGCCTCCATAGTAATAAATGTTGAAGCTGGAGCGGTCTTGCGTTGAAGCCACCACGGCACATGCTCGCGTGCGTGCTGTCGGGCCCTCCGAGGTGGCTTGCCTGTACCAGGTGTTGTTGGCGATATCGTAAACTTCTATCGTACTCATGAACTCGTCGCCTTCCACCCTCTATGTACCTGTTAGCTTTACCTTGTGGATGGAGGCCGTAAATACATACGCTCTGGGTTGGATTCTCCGACTGGCGGGCGCTTGTCAACCAGTCCGGGTAGACGACTCCTCCGATAACCACCAGGATGCCCTGTTCACCCACGGGAACCCAGACCACCTCAGGGTTCGCCCGGCTCTTGACCCCGCCCGGCAAGGTATTGTTCGTCCACACAGGGTCTGTCTGGATCGCCATGTCCAGAGTGAGAAGGGTATCCGAGCTGTTGAGAGCGTTCTCGGTGAGGTTTATATTTCGTTGAAACACTGGCCCCCAGTTTGGTGCTCGAAGTCCACCGTAGTACCATGCCATATTCTCGGACGGTGCGCTGACTGCTCCACCGTAGGCGACGTACCGCGTCATACCACCCGGAAGGGTGTTTGAGACGAAGCCTGGTTCGAACTGATCCCTCACAGAGCCGTATTGGTAAGCCTGGTAGGTCAGGGCATCATCCGCGCGAGGGGATGGGAAGGCATCTGTCTTCTTGACCAAGCCTCCGTAGAGCGACAGTTGAGCGTCGTTCACGAACATGGCTCCGTCATAATAGTTGGGTGCGTCGTTGTTGGCATTGCCAATACCGCCGCGGGCTTTGGATATCGTCCCGAAGAGCGCCGTCAAGTTGTCAGACGACTGGAACGGGCGGCTGAAGTTGAGAGTATACATGAGGCCGAGGGGGTTTTCTAGCCGGCCATCAGCGCAAGATGATCATCAGCATGAGCATGACGGTAAAGAGATAACGCCACCGACCTTGTTGTTCTGGGGCTCCATATTCACCATTCGAAAGCCCTTGGCTCCAGTACAGAAAGCCACCGTCGAGGTATAGTGTGTCTCTGACAACGCCAGCTATGCGGAAGATGAGCGACGTGTCACCGGAAGACTCAGTCGTCACAACAAGACATACCTCTTGGTTGCGCCCATAGACACATCGAAGCATTGACTTGATCCCCAATCCACCCCTCAAACTGACCGAACGCCACCCTGGCGAAGGCGACGAAGCAGACGGCCAGCATGTGAGCCATGGTGCTGAGAAGTCCCTGGTGCGCACTGCGAGGGTTTGAACCAAGCTACATGCGCCTGATGCTGTGCAGGTGGTGATCAGAAACCTAGATGGCCAATCGAGGTCGAATATTCCGAGCTGGATTGCTGCTGTCAACCGGGCGACCAGAGAAGAGACGGCTCACCGTTGACCCCTTGCCCTGGGTCCCCCGTTGGTACGGTGTTTCTGATCGGACCTGTGGAAGCCGACTCGGGCCGTTGAGAACACTAGGATGCGACCAACGGGTGGGAAAGAGTGCTCGGTAGATGGCCTCACGTCACACGGAAATACATGCCGGGAGCATCCAAGCGGCCATATCCGCACATCGGACTGCTGGAGATTGAACAGGCCTGGAGACGGTTGTGACAGACCATGACAAGTCGCTTAACCCAGGCCACCCCGCCGGAGATGGCGGTTGTTGGAGGGCACGGAGTGCTCGTCGATCGCATTGAGCAACAGAGAGTTGTTGGACATGGAACATGACGACCAACGAGAGCAGCTCATAATCTCGGCAGCAGGTTTGATGGACCGTAGCCTGCAGGATAAGGTAAGGTCAGGTTGGGAGCCTTTGGACGAAAACCCTTGGCCAACGTGAGCGTCGGCAGATGAAGAAACGGGCAGGGCCGAAAAGCGCTCGCATGAGTCGAGTCAAGACAACCAACCTACCCTTGCGATTGCCGTGCTTGAGGTGCAAGGCCCCGGCCGTGCGTTGCGGAAGTCACGGGACAGTAGCTTCGCTTCTGAAGGATAAGACCGATGTGGGTAGGGTGGGGACAGGACGAAAAAAAAACATCACCAGCGAGAACGAAACTTTTGAAATCCGAAGCTACCAACAGCTCCAGAACACGCTCCAAAAGGTCAATTGGATAGCCTGCTGCCCGTCGTGAAGCCCATAGCGACGCCGGCACCATGGCGACCCCGTGGCCCGAGGAACACCCCTGGCCAACTCCCTTCCGAGAGCACGCCACGAAATTGAGCAGATACCTACAGGCAGCACTGAAGTCTATCGACAGCGCAAACGGACAACTTATCGAACCTCAAAGAGTCAGAGCTGCGTTCATTGGGGCTCTGACGCTCGTCGCCAAGTTGCAGAACATTCCCGACCTCGAGAACATCCGCGACGCGATTGCAAACCTCCATACCGAAACCAAAACCGCCAGCGAGAATGCTATCCGAGCCACGAACAACCTCCGAGAAGAACTAAACAATACAAACAAGTCAATGCAGCAGAACACCACCGGTATCAAGGAGAATACAGCCGCCGCGAGGGCAGCCAACGCCGTCGCCAAGGAGGCACTGGAGGCGAACAAGATGACTCTCAAGATGGTCAGGGATGCGAAGACACTAGGACCGATGAATCCAGGCAGCATCGCACGCACATATGCCAGTGTAGCCGCCAGGGGAGGACTAGCAGTTAGCATGCATAACCCACAGAACCACAGAACGTCCCACGTACAGACCCTGCGTGAGATCATTGTGAACATCAGAGACCCAATCACCATCACCAACCTCAGAGCCATGGGCCCCCGCAGCCTCAAAGCCCACGTAGACCGCGCCATTGAACAGAGCAGTAACGAGAACATTGACAAACTGAAGGTAGCATCGGCTAACCAGCTGAAGAGTGGCGACTTGAGCATCAAAACAGCCACGATAGCAGACATGGAAGCGCTCCGCCAGTTCGCTGGGGACTGGGAACATCGCATCGGCAACGGCGCCTCGGTACGGATCCCGACTTACGGCATATTAGCACACGGCATACGAACCAGCTCCATGGACATGGACAACTTTGCACAACTGAGCGACGAGCTGCTACAGGACAACAGACCGTTCATCCCTACCGCGGAGATCAAACACATCGACTGGCTGACCCGGTCCGCCCATACGAAGTCCGCATCCACTATTGTCGTGGAATTCTCCAAGGCGGAGGACGCCAACAAGATCATCGACGAGGGCCTCATCTGGCAAGGCGAAATTTTCCAATGCGAACGATACGACAGACAGTGCCGCCTGAGGCAATGCTTCAGATGTCATAAATATGGCCACATAGGAACCCAGTGCAAGGCACCCCTAGCATGCGGCTACTGCGCGCAAGAGCATGCAACCCGAGAGTGTCCCTCCAAGAACGACGCGGCCACGCCCCGGAAGTGCGCCGTGTGTGACGGCAGCCACGAAGCATGGCACGGCCAGTGCCCGGCCAGGACACGAGAAATGACCAGAATCAGGGAAGCCTACAAATCACGACCAAAGTACCACCCGGAGAACATCTCGATCACGACATCCACGGCAACCGAAAGTCAACCCCGAACGGCGACAAGGATCGGCGACCAGTCCTGAACCAGGCCAACCCCAAGGAGCGCGTCGAACCGCAGCAGATCGCCTGTGAAGAAAGTACAGAAGAGAGCGAAACCATGCAATCCAAGAAAAGGATGAGAACCTTCGAAGACTTGATCAGAGTCGCCTGCGACGATGCCAGGCCGAAACCGCATCATAGTACGACCCCGACGGGCTCTCGAAGCCATAGACGGCAACATTCAGCCGACACACGACAGCAACAGAATGGAAATCGTGGACGACAACGAATGATCACGCAAAACACGCTCACAATACTACAGTACAATGTTAGAAAATCGAAAGATACGGTGATGGCCACGCTCCTCCGCGACCCCAGGATCGATAACTACGACATCCTCGCCATCCAGGAACCGTGGAAGAACCCATTCAGCGACACGACACACCACCCAGCAAAGGCCAGCTGGGGAGGCAAAGGATACACCAAACGAACACTGCAACGACTAGAGAGACTACAGGCCAGAGCTGCAAGGGTAATGAGCGGTGCCTTCAAGGCGACGTCATCACCAGCACTAGACATCGAAATGCACCTCCTCCCTATTGAACAGCAAATCCGCAAACACAATCTACTCTCAATTGGGAGAATAGGCGGTACGGCCAGCCCGCAGCCGTCCAGCACCCCACACAGAAGGAAGGAGAAGATAAGCCCCAGAGAAACCATCAAACAGGAACTGCAGCAAAGGCCATCTCCGGACGGCAGGCAGCACGAAAAGATTGAACCCTTTGTCGTCCCGCCCTGGTGGCAGGGACCACAGGTGTACATCGAAGATGACATGGAAACAGCCCAGGAGGAGCATCGGAGACAACAACGGCGCGAGACAGGCGCGATCCATGTTTACACAGACGGAAGCGGAATCAATGGCCGGATCGGCGCAGCAGCAGTCTGCACAACGACCGGTGAGACCGAGACCGCATACATGGGAGCAGACACAACATCGACGGTCTACGCCGGGGAACTCCAAGGCATCATACTGGCACTCCAGGTAGCCCAGGCGGACAGGACAAGAGGCAACAACAGGAGCAAGCTGCTGATCTATACCGACAACCAAGCAGCCATCAGATCATCAGCCAGACCCAAGGGCAAGACAGGAGCATACTTGCTCAGGGACATAGCTCAAAGGATACAGGAGCTCAACAGCCAAGGCCTCCCGACGGAAATCCGATGGATACCAGCACACACAGGAATCCAGGGAAATGAAGACGCAGACATAGCAGCAAAGGAAGCCACCGGCTGGCGAGAAAACGGGCAGACAGGCCCGACAGCAGACCTGCCAGGGGAACTCTACTCCCTCCAATCGACACTCAAGACATGGGCACACAAGGAAGCCAGCAGAGCATGGCAAACTAAATGGACGTCGGAGACGAGAGGCAGGACCTCCTTCCGGTACACACCAAAGCCGACCAAGAAGATCCTGCAACTCCACGACGGGCTGATCAAGCGACAGAGCGCCATCCTGGTGCAGATGCGCACTGAGAAGATCGGCCTCAAGAAGTTCCTCTTCAACCGAAGAGTCCCGGACATCACGGACGACAACTGCCCCTGCCGAGAAGGACGACAAACGGTGTCGCACGTCCTGCTGCGATGTCGCCGATTCCGACAACTCCGACGCCAGGAACTAGGAGCCATTCCAGGACGACACGACCTCCGGGCCTTGCTGAACAAGCGCCAAGCAGCCGCAAAAGCCATCAGATTCATGGAACAGACCGAGATCCTTGGGCAATTCAGGATCGAGTCGCAACCCAGACAAAGCTGAGCACTGGGGGGAGACTGTAGGTACGCAGAACCGGCACAGGGGGTATCGCGCCCCGACAGAGCCTAAGACGTAGTTTGGATTAGTAGAAACCGCGATCTACACGAGGGTGACAGCCAAATGTAGACAGAGGTTGAAGAGCAGAAGCGGGAAATTTGGGGACAGCTGGCCGAATGGTTTGGCATTCGGCGAAGTGGGGCACTTGGATTCACATTCGAGCGCGTCGGCTGTCGGCTAAACCCCGCTTACCGGGCATAGCCGCTGACTAAGATAGCGGCCACATCCGTGTAGGAAATCAAGTCAAGTCAAGTCAAGATACTCACCATGATCACGGTGAGAGATCGTGAGAACATCCACCACGCCCGGTGACACGATCCGCTCAAGGAAGGAATGAACGAGTATAAGTAGGAGGGCATTTCTGGACTTGTAGATACATTTCTTTCCCACGACAGTGATCAATCTAAGTCTTACCTTGCTTCCATTGTAAGAGTGCGCAACGCCTTACGACACCCTCAGTGCTCAACCGCCACAACCTGAACTTCTGCTTACAGTAAACCCCTACCCCTCTGACTGTTCCTCGCCGGAAGAATAGCCAGGTCGTAACATCTACTTTCTCGTAATGTATTTTCCTGAGTGCCTTCTGGATGACTCGACTCTTTTAGTTCCTTACTGCGTAATATTCTTCCTAACTTTCCTTGGTCTGTTGCTGACTGTATGCTTGTCTCAGTTGTTTAGTTTTCGCTAGGATCCTGGTGTATTCCTCGTTCTACCCTTCTTTTGATCTTGGTGAGTGGATCTTAGTGGGCACTCTATGCTCTATGGTATTGGAGATGGCTTGGACTGTTTCTTTGATGTATCTGTCGAGGCCTGTCTTTATCCTGGG